GATGGTGATCCTGGTCGCGGTTCTTTTCTCAATGACATCGACTAGATATAGCACTTGGCGAAAATAGTCGTTGTCTGTCGTCCATGGTAGGTTCTTGATCAGATTCCGACAACTGCGGCGTGGTTGGATTTGGGTGTGGATAAGTGGAAGGAGGTGTGTAGGGTGGGAAAGAAAAAAGTTTGAGTGGAGATATGGGAGGGGGTGGTAGTAAACTTAGGATAAAATTAGGGTTAGGCAAGCTCTGGTATCAAATGATACCTAAGTTAACCCATACCATAATAAAAAGTAATATTATTACTGAAACTCAAATATTGACTTACAAACAACCAACTATAATAGGTAATAACAACACAAATAGCAACAGGCATGACATAGACACTCAACGGGGGTGGATTCCGGGGTGTGGTGGTGGTCGGTGAGGGTTTGGAAGGTGGTGCGGGGATGGAAAAGGCGGTTGGAAAGCAGAGAACAGCAAGACAGTGGTTTCCCCGATGTCGGGCAGCAAGTAGACAGCCGGGAAACGATGTGTGAGGGCTGTCCAGGTTGATGACAACAACGGGGAAGGGTGGAAACGGCAGCGACTCCAATGAGGATGCGGCTGGCCAGCCGGTGGGGGAGGCTGAGAGGAAGGTTGGGAAGGGGCGACGATTGATTTGGAGGGTTGTGTAGGTTGTTGGGAGGATGGCAGCAAGGTTGGCGGGCGGCTGGAGGCGATAGCAGCAAGTTGGCGCCAGGAGTGAGGAACCTGGCGGTCGGCTGGACGTTCTATCACTGCTCTCACTTATCATAAAAGGTTCAACTTGGAAATCAGCCCCAACGTGTGGCTCAAAAGCCTTAAATTGCACCCACAGGAAGCCTTCTTGTGGTGGCGGATCTTAAATGATGTGATTCCAATTAGGTTTTGCATAGTAATAAAAAACTTGGAGATGAGGTTCAATGTCCGTGGGGATGTGCGGAAATGGAGGATCGCTCGCACATTACAATGTCATGCAACAACACCATGGCCATCTTTACGGTTCTGGCTCGATGGGGAGTTCGTATTCCAACCTTCAAAGATTTTGCTCTTACTCTGGATGAAGGAGGATAATAAGAAGCACATGACAACAATGAAAATCTATGCAGCGGAGACTACCGAGTGTGGCGGGCTAGAAACGCAAAAGTTTATAAGGGGCAATTTGGAACTCTGATGGTGTTGGCCTCAAAAGTGTTATCCTCCCTTACGTAGACGTTTGCTTTCTCCATCTGGGAGCGATGGGGCATTTCCTAGTCCTTCGGACTATCTAACGCGACACATTGGGGCGCACCCCCTTTTGGTCTTCCTCTGATGGATTAAAGAAAATGTCGATTGTGCTTGGCTACCCTTCTGTGCGGCGGGGGTTGAAGTGATCATTCGTGATGAAGTTGGGAACTGCTTGGTGGCGGCTGGCCGACATTTATTGCATTGGGATATCTCACTTGTCGAATTGGAGGTGGTCTGATTCATTGACACTTTGCTCGAGCCATGGATGAAAGATATGAATGGGTTAGTCATCGAAGTTGATAATAACAATGTGATAACTGCTGTTCAACAAACTATGGACAAATCTCATGGCGCCAACCTACCCCTTTTGATGTTGATATGTTTTTTTTTTTGACTTGTATGTGAGAAGGTCTTCTCTCATACATGTAGACCCAGTAATGGTGCAGCTCATACTTGTGCAAATCTTGCTTCAAAAGATAGTTTTGTCATTAAGAATATAAATGATAATCATCCTTTGTCTGTTCTAGTCGAAAGGGATAGAAGTTTTTGTGAGCCTACTACTCAGTGGCCGTTTTGCATAGTTTTGTGGCTGTTTTTTAGCCCGTTTTGTAGCTTTCACTTTTCTTTTAATGCAAAAATGCACACATTTCAAGGAGTGAGGAACCGGGGAGTAGTTGGGAATTGATAGATGCCACCTCGAGATGAGTTACAACTAGAGCATCTTCTCGCCTTTGGACAAGGCCCCCGGAGGTCAAAACCGAACGTCGGTGGCTTTCCTGATATAAATCTGAGCAAGAAGACCCTAACATGCAACAGACAATACATATATAGACTTAGGGTAAAGAGGAGTGGGCCTCACTCCCAATAGGAGGGAACCCTAAGCTTGGAAGAACTGGTTGATCCCTTCTGTGCCTGGAACGAACCGGTCCTGGCGAACAGCGCTCCGCATCATGAAGCATGCAATTGAAATAAAGCAAATGGTTAATATTGTAACCTCATGTATTTAAAACCTTGCAATGTTAACAGTCTCGCATCAACATTTACATTGATTACATAATAATTTTAGTAATTTTAATGTGCACAGTAAAGTCATTTTGTATGAATTTTGATGACAAGATGCACATAAAGAATACTCATAGAACCTTTACAGAGCTTGTTGATGCTGGCGTGAGGGCACGGTTCTCCCGCGTTCCAGACACCTTAACCGATCGGTCCAGGCGTGGGAGAGCTGATCGGGTCTTCCACAGGGATTTGGCGCCTCCTTTTAATATAGTCCCAAACCTAATTATCTAGGGCTTTATATATGTGTTTTCTGTGTTTTAGATTTATAGTTTCTGTTGTGCTTTTGTTCAGGATAGTCATCGACGTCCTTGTATTTCTTTCAAGAGCTATATCTGAGGGTTGAGTAATGTTCCGGCTGTATCTCGTCGGAGTTGGTGATTTATCCTTCCCCAAATCCTTTGCATTCCTCCTTGTTGCAGGCCGCCCCGACAGTGGCTCTTTTGCTGTTGTTCTTGCAGTTCATTACTGTCCAACCATCCTCCACGCTGCCTCAACCCGAGACAACACTCCTTTTGTTGTCCCACAAACCCACACATTCTCAGTCGCGGACGCTGTCATTCCCCCTTGTTGCCGCTTTGAACAGTCATTCCTGGTTGTTTTGCTGCTGTTCCAGCCACCCAAAACCATTCTTTGTGCCCGCTTCCTGCTTTTCAGCCCTCGTCCTTGCTGCCACCGCCCGGAACTACCCACTTCTTGCTGTTCCAACACTTTCTCACCTTCTTTTTGCTGTCCACCATCACCCACTTGTTGTCGCCCCACCAACTGGCATACCAACCGCCCTTTACTACCTCCTCGGATGTCCAAACCCTCGTCAATCACCACCACCCTCCCAAGATCCACCTATTTTGAGTTGATGCCATCAATTGTCTCACTTTCATATTTTTGTGTGTTGTGTTGTTATTTCCCCTTTTAGTGTGTTGGTTGTAACTTCCCTAGGTTTTTTCGGTAATAATATTTGTTTGCTTATTATTGTTTGGGTTAACTCGGGTATCACTTGCACTAGAACTTAGCTAAAGGTCATCTTGGGCACCATTTTGTAGAGAATTCTATTTGTTTAGATTTTTTTTTAGTAAGCTAACACTCTTGAGGATGATAATCTTTGCTAATTTTGGCTGCATTCCTTTCTCATATTTTTTTATGCTTGTGTAATTTGTTGGAGGCTTGCGAACAACTTTTAAAAATTGAGGTGTGGTGACATTTGGTTTCGAATGATTTATATTATCTTGTACGGCTCACCTTATTTGGTTGAAATCTATGAACTCTTATGCCATACAGAAGTGTCCAATTTAACTCTAATGTATTTTAAATGACTAATGATTACAGATAATCATGAGAAATAACAAAGAAACCTATTACTGAAAGGTAGGTTATCATCAAACAAGCATATGATCTGTAGAAGAAAGGATGTAGAATAGGCATTTCATCCGTGGACGGAGAGAAGATTTTGGTTATATGACAAATATCCATTTTGTAGTAATTTGGAAACTAGCTCTGAAGAATCTTTTTACGATTTGAAGATAATTGATTGAGTGTCTTTCATTTCAATATGTACAAATTTGTATAGTCCTCCAAAAGGATTTTATAAGAAAAATGAAATCACAGGATATAATTAATTATACAATAGTTATAATAGCCTACAGATTGATGAGTAGGCGATCAAGAACTGTTGAATCAATGAGGCAGCGGCGGAAGGGGGAGGAATGAGTGGAAAATTCTGAGTCTATCCTAATTGGCAGAAATTTTGTGGAGGCTTCTCAACTGCAAGTAGGCATATCAAAATAGGAGGGGGCAAATGTACTCAGAAGATTAATGTCCATACTAACCAAATTTAAGATTATTAATTTCTTGCATCTTTCATGCATTGTTAGTGTATTTTATTGCAGAATACTTATTCTCAGTAATCTTCCACTGTCTTTAACAACTTTTTACATTTTTTTAATTCTACATTTTTATGTTTTAAACAATCCAACTGATTTTGGAAAATAAGGCTGAAATTCTAACGTTGGTGTATCGCCCCCTTATTAAATTCTGATGACTTTATTCTGCAAGGATAGAGTGACTGAATGAAATTTATGTGTTCAAATATTTTTAGTTTTAACATTTGTCCTTGATGTTGGTTTTGATGCATTATATTTAAATGTTCAAATATTTTTTATTTTACAATTTGATGTTTTAGGCAGTTCAACAGGTTTTAGTGGAAATAAGGCTGAAAATAGTTTTATGTAAGTTTCATGTCTTCTTGATAAATTTTATTGAACTTTAATCTGTAATGATAGTCTAACGGAATGAGATTTAAGTTTTCAAATATTTTTGGTGAAGACATCTTGCCTTGGTGCAGGTTTTTACGTACTAACTATTAAGAAAAAAGATTATTCTTCATTTCCCATAGAAAATCCAAAAAATTTTGGGATTTTTTTGTTGCCCTAAACCTACGTTACCCAGTCAAAAAGGGTGGAACACCTTGTCATTCTATGATCTAAGCACAAGAAACTAGAAAATCCCAAATGGTCGGGAGTAAAGAGCTATCATTGAAAAAAAAAAATCTTATCCTTTTAGAACGGCTGTTCCCTTTTCCTTCATTCCCACTTCAGAGTTTAACAAATATTTTGTTCTTTGTGCAAATTTTATGAAATGCATTTCGGTTGGTGAACATTGGCCTGAATTACAAATTTACATATGCTCATTTGTTGTCTCATAGGTAGTGAGAGTCCAGAGAAGAACCTGTTAGTAAATTGTTCCTATTACATGGGAGAATCTGTCATAAGCATCCGCAAGGTAAATAATTTATTTGAATTTTTTGATAAATGTGGTACATTTTATTAGTTCTAAATAACACTTTAATAGGGAAGTTTACATATATAGCACACAAATCTTATGTATTTACATATCTCACACCTAAACTTTATATTTACATGCATTGCACTTTTGTGCTTTAAACCAAGACATGTAAAGGTGTATTGCACTATTAAAAAGTGATGATAGTGCTAATTTTTTATGTGATATTAAACATTTGAGTGTTGTGCGTTTAAATATGGAAGTTTAGGTGTGAGACATGTAAATACATTAGAATTCTGTGCTATGTATGTAAATGCGCCTTTTTTGGAATTGATACCATCTAAATGGGCTAGACATGTAATATTTATATAAGTGGAAGTCTACTTTTGGCGAAGTGTTTCCATTTGGAGTTATTGGAGACTATTTAATTCTTCTTGCACAAGGCTTTTCTGCATGTTTATATTATTAAATGATTCCCAATAATGAACATATTCTTTGCTGTATCTGCATGCTTTTTAGACATAAGAATGCAAAGATGATCCTTGGACTTCTTCCCTGTTCTTGTGGAGCAGTATTTTGGAGCAAGAAAGTAGGGGATAAACCTGGCATAGCAGCTTTTACTTTTTTTTTAATTCGTGAATGAATTGGAAAACTTGACTTAATTTTGTGCTTCACTGAATTTTTACTGCTGCTGAATTGCTCACACTTGAACCATATGTTGGGATACATTTTCCTTGAAAAGTTTCTAGCTATGTGATTGGACATTTTCTCTTTCTTAACATAAACCTGAATCCATTAACTTTTTAATGATTTTGTCATTCAGTCCCCCCAAGCATTTTGATTGCATGCTTTTGACTGGTTGTTTAAAGTTTGAAAATTATTTTTGAAGATAAAGAGGACCATAGTTTGCAGCCCCCCCTTAGTGGGATAAAGGCTTGTTGTTGTTGTTGTATTTGTTGATAAAGAGGACCATAGTCTTGAAAACTTTGAGATATGGTTAGAGGGAAGGGAAAATAATTCTTCGTTGCTTAATCATCGTTTACTTTTATTAACGCATGAATGAATTGGAAAACCTGAATTAATTTTGTGCTTCGCTGATTTTTTGTTGACACTGAATTGCTGTTTGAATTGCTGATACAAGAGCCATATATTGGGATATATTTTCCTTGAAAATATTCTGGTGATGTGATCGGACATTTTCTCTTTCTTAACATAAACCTGAAGCCATTAACTTTTAATGATTTTACCATTCAGTCCCCCAAAGCATTTTGATTGCATGCTTTTGACTGGTTGTTCAAAGTTCAGATATTATATTTGAAGATAAAGAGGACCAGAGTCATGAAAACTTTGAGATATGTTAAGGGGGGAAGGGAAAATAATTCTTCATTGCTTAATCATCTCAAGTCTGGACATACATATTTAATGTATTGGAAAAACATGTAAGGCGATACTATATGCCAAAAATAAGAAACAAACTTAATGCACAGCATCAAAATTTTCATTTAAATATGTGAACTTGTTAAAGGAATAAAATAAATGTGCTTAAATTAGTCTGCTAAACAAACAACAGCTGCTTGCTACTATCAATAAATCCGCCCCTAACCCTTGCATTAAATAGGTGAATGGATAGCTGCAGCAGCAGCCTAAAGCGTAAGCAGATATCAGTCTTTTTTCTTAAAAGTCGGCCTTTGAATTTTGAAATGATCCATTCAGCTGGCTGCATAAAGCACGTGCAAAAATGTCATTCAATTAGAATAGTTCTTGAAATATATTGGCAAATAAAGCCACTGAATTTGGGGAAGTGGTCTTGGCAACATTTTTCCAAATCGTCTAAGGATCTGATCTTCAACACCCCCCATAAGCTGGATAGTAAATGTTTGATATTCCCAGCTTGTTGATTAGGTTGTCAAAGTTGCTTCTTAACCAAGCTTTAGTGAAAGATGTTAGCAATTTGTAGATGGGTTAAAGTTTAAAGGAGAGAAATAACCTTATTGCCGACAATCAACTTTCACATGTTTATTTTTATCATGATAAACAAGATCCTTTGCAGTACTTGTTGCTACGTGGTTACCACCACATAATTTTATAGGTTTTTTATGGTTTGACTACTCAGTGAAGAGACGCTTTAGCCAAATATCTTCACAAATTTTTTTCGGCCACATCCATAAACTCAGCTTCTGCACTACTGTAGACCATAGTGGGTCTTGTCACGAGATTACTCCATATAAATGCCACTAAGATCAGTCTCCAACCCCGCCGAATTAGTATTAGTTAACACTTCAATCATTTTAGGTAATTTTCACGTAACTACATCATTGTATTCTTCAGTAGGGCAATTCATGAATTAGCTTATCAAGCTTATAGAAAAGCAATTATCAAGCATAGCTTGAGCAAGATAGATGGGGTGTTGCCTCTGATACTAACCTTTGTCAAAATGAGCAATTTTACTTCGCCTCTTGTTTAGTATTGGGATTCTTGGGAGTATCAATTGATTTGTAGCCAAACATCTTGTTACTTTTAATAGATGATGAATAATTTTTTATTGTGTTAATGATCTATTTACAAGGTGAGTTAATTCTTTGTTCCTATTTCATGGTGAGATAAATTAATCAAACTTCTTTGGAAAATTTACATACATAACTCTTAATTCCTATGCATTTACATATCTGACCTCCAAACTTTAGTTTTCACATACATCTTGCCATGCATAAAAAACTGTATTTCATTATTTAAAAGTTAAAACGGTTGCATCTTTTTTTTCTTTTTTTTTATGAAAGATTTTGGTGGTATAAATGTAAACAATAAAGTTAGGTGTAGATATGCAAATACATAGGAATTGGGATTTTTTGTTCCACAATTTTCTTTCCCCCCCAGCCACACTCTAATCAGATTTTTTTGTTTCTTTCTTAACATTTGATGTTATTGTGGTTAGAGACAGTTTTGTAATTTTATTTCAACTTAGGACATTACTTTTAAGTTTTGAAAGAATGTGTTGTGCAAGAAACTATGTGATGGGTGCAATGTGAACTGATTTTTCTCTTTTACCGTATTTGCAGGGTTTTTTCTCATACAGACCCTCATTAGATGACTTGTTGAATGATTCTGATGACACTGACATAGCCTGCAAATCTTTAAGTAATAGCATTGTGGCAAGCTCACTTCTTGGAAGTGTGCTCCTCCTTGTTCCTATTACAAGGTGAGTTAACCACTTGTTCCTATTTCATGGTGAGATAAATTAATCAAACTTCTTAGGAAGATTTACATACATAACTCTTAATTGCTATATATTTACATATCTAACTCCTAAATTTCAATTTTTGCACGAATGCCACCATACTTATGCATAAAAATGTGTATTTTATTATTTAAAAGTTAAAACAGTTGCATTTTTTATGTGATATGACAGATTTCAGTGGTATAAATGTAAACAATAAAGTTTAGCTGTAGAGATGTAAATACATGGGTTTTTTTTTTTTTTTTACTTTTGTTTTTTGTGAAATATCATTAAACGGTTTTAGATTTTTTTGAGATTGGACTTTTATTTATTAGGACATTCTTGCATATCAAAGCTGTAAATCTCTCTCTCTCTCTGTATGATTTATGTTTAATTTATGAAATTGCAGTGAAGAGCACTATTTGTTAGAGACTGTGCAGGCCAGGCTTGCTGTTTATCCTTTGACTGCTCCTGTTCTAGGGAATGATCATAAGGAATTCCGTGGACGGCTCTCAAAGGTATGAGAAAACTTCTAAGCTATTATACTGGATAAATTTGTGGAATATTTACATACATACCTCTCAATTCTTTTGTATTTACATGCCACCTTATGCGTGAAAAGGTGCATTCACTTTTTAAAAGTTAAGATTGTGATATTTTTTATGTGATATGAAAGGTCTGGGTGCTGAAAATATAAAATGTAAACTTCAGGTGTTAGATATGTAAATACATAAAAATTGGGTTGGCATGTATGTAAATGCCCTAATTCTTTCATATTATCATAAATAATTCAAATTTAAATTAATGATGACCCAAAAAGGATTCTTCATCATAATTTCAAATTAATCTAAAAATTTAAATAAACTTTAAAATATTAAAAGTTAAATAAATTAAACTTGGATAACTTTCATTCTAAAAGAAGTAGAGAAGCATCCTCTGTAAATCTTTTTTTTCCCCCTTCAGGTTTTGTGTAGTATTTTTTTAACATATTTGAATGCATAGTGCAATCAATATCATCATCATTGGTTTTATCACAATAATTTGGGTTCTGGATCAAATTTAAAATAACAATTTCAGAACATTATTTATTGTAAAACTTGGTTAATAAAAGGGGGGTGGGAGGGCTTTTTAACTGAAGGTTATGGAAATCTGGTCCAAATGTTGGAAGATTCAATAGTTATTCATCAGCCACTTGTCTGATTCATGGCATTCAGATTTATGTAATCTAACTATTTAAATGTTGGAAGATTTACATACATTCCATTCAATTCCTATGTATTTACATGTATAACACCTATACTTCAATTTTGGCATGCATGCTATCTTTCCTATGGTTGAAAGGTGTATTTCACTTTTTAAAAGTGAAAATGTTGGCTCAATTCTTATATATTTACGTATCTAACACATAAATGTCAATATTTATATACATACCACCTTACCTATGCATGAAAATCTGTGTTTTTACTTTTCAAACGTTAAAATGGTGACTCAATGCCTATATATTTACATATCTAATCAAACACCTAAGCATCAAATTTTACATACATACCAACTTACTTATGCTTGGAAAGGTGATTTTCACTTTTTAGAAGTTAAAATGATGATATTTTTTATGTGATATGAAAGATTTGCCTGTCATAAATGTAAAAAAGCGAAATTTTGGTGTCATATATGTAAATATAGAAAAATTGGGTGGTATGTATGTAAATGCCCCCTTAAATATTTAGGAAATTTAAGTACATGGTGCACAATTCTTATGTATTTATATATCTCACACCTAACCTTTCATACTTATATATCTTTAATATCACATAAAAAAGAGCGCAATTATCATTTTTTTTAAAAGTGAAATACACATTTTTATGCTATGTACGTATATATGAAAGTTTAGGTGTGAGATGTGTAAATACATAATAATTCTGTGCTAGGTATGTAAATTTCCCTAAATATTTATCTATCAATGCTTCTGATAATCATTTGTGATGATTCAGGTTGGAGTTCCCACCATGCTTGATGGAGACATGCTCCTCCAGTTCTTGGAGTTGACTAGAATCCAACAGGAAGCTGTGCTCTCTCTCCCCAGCTTTCACAGCACAAATGCTTCTACTTCTGATTCACATCCTCCTCTCTCTGTGAATCAGGTCGTTCAGATATTAGAAAGAATTCATCATGCGTTGACCTGAAGGGTTGACTGATCTTTCTGTCAACCCTTTCATTGCTTCTGAGTCAAACCCAGAGTTAAATTTATTGCGGCTGTTATTGGATATTACTATGGCAACATAATGCATTACAAACACATGCAATACAGAGTTGAGTTAGCATCCTCTGTATGATCTGAAAAGATAAGCTTGAAATGGCAGATTGTTGATTATTTATTTTAATTTGTAACATTTTTTTTTTCCTTTTGATATGGTGTATGTGCTGATTACTATTAGTTTATTTCTATTAAATAATGCAGCTGTTATGAGGTATGTTATATATAATATTTCTAAACTTTTAATTATTTCTATTATTTTATTTTATTTTTTATTTTCCTAATACACATAAATAAATCAGACGGGGGTAATTGTCTTTTCGGGCCTCTTGAATTTGTTTTATTCATAAAATGATTCCCATTTATATAGGAGAATATCTGAAGTCCTACTTTAAAGAGGGCATTACAGAGGTATTGTTGAGATCTTACATGTACGAGCTCATTATCATGGTTGCGGGTCGTCAAAGTTGTTGGTCGTTCAGGCTGCAGGTCATCCAGGTTGTTGGTCGTCTCGAATGTGTGTTTCCCTATGAGAGATTTAGTGTGATGTGCTTTTGTTGTGCACATACATATCATATAATTGTTATCTATTTACATGTCTAACATCTGAAGTTTGATATTTATGCTTACAACACCTTGGTGCCATAATTTTGTGCTTAAAAATGTTTATTCAAAAATATTGTGATTGTGGTATTTTGCATGTGATGTTAAAAGATTTGAGTGATATGCACGTAAACATGAATGTTTAGGCGTTGGCCGTGTAAATACATGAGAATTGTGTATTAAGTTTGCGAATGCTCTTGTAGTCATTACTCTAAAAGGTTATATAAATAAATATCAATATATAGGTGTTAGATATGTAAATATTTAAGGTGTGGCATGTATGTAAATTTCCTTTTTCCTATTACTACTTTTATTGTCAATATTTACTCTATTATACTTATTTACTCCAAAAAAAAAAATGGCATATGCTAGATAAATTTAAATCATATTTTCTTTCGTTATTGCATTTAGGGCTGTAAACAAGCTGAGTTTGAGCTAGCTCAGGCTTGGCTCGTGTTCGAAATTGGCTTGTTAACAATGTGTTCGTGTTCGGCTCGATTTAAATTAAATCGATTTAAATATTTGTGTTTGTGTTCGGCTTGAAATTGACTCGGAAAAATTAAATTGAAAAAAAAAAAGATGTAAAGTGTGAGATTCGATCCTGGACCAAATATATAAAAAATAAGATGCTAACCACATTACCACATAAGATTTTATGATTTAAACTTATATATAAATATATATAATATAATATTATATAAATAATATATCTAATATATATAAATAATTATATATTTTTTAAATTTCGAGCTAAAACGAGCCGAACACGAGCGAACAAAGAGCTGCTCGTGTTCGGTTATTTTATTATTCGAGCTTTAAAAACTTGTTTGTGTTCGACTCGTTTACTTGACGAACGAGCCGAACACGAGCTACTTAACGAGCTGATTATGAGCTGTTCGCGAACAACGAACTTTTTTGACAGCCCAAATTGCATTTTATTCCATTTTATAAGGTTTAAATTTGTTTGTTTATGTAAAAAAATAATTTTGAAAAATTAATTATACTGCAATTTTTTTTTCTTATATTAATCTACTAGTAACTAAAAAGTTGGTTGAACTAAAATATGATTCAAATTTTATGATTAAGCGTAAAGTAATTCATTATTAGGAAAGTAAATAAAGTTTTAATTGATAGTTAAATTAACAAACGAATTAGGCCTAAAAAATAATTGCTGCCCTATTTAATTTCTTAAGCACGTAGTTGTTGTATAGTTGATCGTTTAATAAGACATATTTGCATAGATATCACTCAATTCCTTGTATTTACAAACTTAACACTTAATCTTAAATTTTTACATATGTGGCATCTTACGTTCTTACCTATGCATGAAAATGTGTATTTGGCATTGTTGTGATATGAAAGATTTGATGGTATAAATGTAAAAAATAAAAATTACATGAATTGGGTTGTATGTAAATGCCTCAAATTTTAAATAAATTTAGCTATTATTATTTATGTGTGCTAGAAAATTTGCGGTAGTAGAGTGACAGATTATCGTCTTAGCATGGTACGAAGATTCAACACACACTTAGAGAAGAGAAGAAAACTAGTTATGACGCCCTAAGTTCTTACGTGAAAAACTCATAAAGAGAAACATCATGGGGTGTGATTTAGCTGAAGAGTTTTACTGTTGAAAGACGATTATAGTTGCAATCACTTGTCTCACGGGTGGAAAATGTTTGCTAGGCTTCCCAAGTTACATCGTTGATGCACGCATGAGTTTGTTGTAAGATTGGGCGGCGACTGATAGCGATTGGTGACGGCCGACAAGTGTTGGTCGACAACAATCAGCGGTAATCGAAATCGTTCGGCAATGGTTTATTGTTGTCGATGGTGGTCAACTGCGACTGATGGTCAACTGGCAGTGGTCAACGATGGTCAGTGGTGATCAACGATTGCATGGATGATGTCAAACGTCAGCTACTTCTCAAAGTTTCAAACTCTTTCTCAAGCCTCAAGCTCTCGTCTCCTCTCTCATGAGAGGGGAAGGGACCTATTTATAAAGATTCATGTGCAATTAATACAGAAATATGAGCCACTTTGATCGGACGACTTAAGATGCTTCCCTCGATCAGATGTGGTGGTGTCAGGTGAGCTGCGCAAGATGGATGAGTGAAACTTGTGGTATCCAGGAACTCAGTATCACGACCTCGTAGAGGAAGTGTTCCTTCTTGGGGAGGAGGGCTGATATGAGTTCCTCAGAGCCGTGTGTTTCCCGTATGTTGCTAAGTTAGTTGTAAACAAACTCCATCCAATGTTATAGGTAGCGATTGTTGAGCCCAACGTAGGAGCTATAAGATCTCAAGTTGACACTCCTCCATTCTGTGCATTTGGTTTTTCAGAGAAGGACCTAGCACACCTTCCTCGGCAGGATAACCTTTTTTACGGTGGGAAGATGAAGAGGCGCACAATCTTTAGCTTCGTGACTACTCTCTGGAACAATGAGTGGAGCGAGATATTTCGTTGTCATGAATAATGTGTCCGGCCTCCATGTAGTAAGTCTCGCAAGAACTTCAGTGGTGGGACTGAAGTTCCCACATATGACGTCAAACTTATGTGTGCTAAAAAATTCGCGGCATTACAGTAGTATATATCTTCTTAGCATAGTACAAAAATTCAATACACACTCAGAAGAGAGAAGAAAAATTGTAATGATACCATAAGTTTTTACATGAAAAACTCATAGAGAAAAAAACCACAGGATCTGACTCAGCTGAAGAGTTTCACTAAAAAAAAGATGATTACAAGTGCGACCACTTGTCCCACAGGCGGGAAAATGTTACTAGGAATCCCAATTTACAACGTCGATGTACGGATGAATTTGTAGGAAAGGGCAACAACTAATAATGATCGGCAGCGGCTGAGAGGTGATGGTCTACAGCGGTCAGCGGTGGTTGACGGGGGTCGACTGCAGCCGATGGCGATCGACAATGGCAATGGTAGTGTTGTACTTCAACTCCTTTTTAAGGCTTCAAATTTTTTTCTCAAGTCTCAAGCTCTCATCTCCCTTCTCATGAGAGATGTGAGACTCTATTTATATAGTTTTGGATGCAATTAATGGAGGAATATGCACCACTTTGATCGAACGACTCAGAGGGCTTCCCTCGTTCAAACGACGTTTTATGGATATTTGAGTGCCTTAACGATGTTTGAATGGAAGGATCTTGGGCACGTTGGATTGGTCTTGCCTAGATGTTTGATTCGACTATGAACTTGTTGGGTTCGACATTCGTTTGACCTCTCAAATGTGTTTGAAAAACTTTCAAATATGGTTTAATGGCTTGATCGGGGCTCAATTTAGTTCATATTAGATTAATATTGATACAATTGGGTCTGTCTCGTCAAGCTGGTAAGTTTGAATAGAAGTAAGGTTGCTTCGAGATCAATGTCATACCTTAAGATTCAAGCCAATTGATGAGGATTTATTGGATGAGTATCAATTATAATGTAATGTTATTACTTAGTAGTAATGTTAAACTATCGAGAAAATCAAAGTCATCTTTTTGAAGATGCTTTAATGTCGATTTTGTTTATATGAAAAACATTTCCTTTAGAGTATGATCAAGCTTAAGCTAAAATACATCTTTAGTAATGAAAATTTATTAAATACGACTGACCTCACATCCTAACAACGATTTAGATGAGTCAGACCGTCATCAATCACACGACAGTTCATATGAAACGTGTCTGAACGTGAGTACTTATTTATCCTTAATAAGAGCAAGCGTAAACAAAAAATAATTAACACAGTTTTTGCCATTATCTTTTATAAAATGATAAATTATTTTTATTTTATCCATTTTTTATTTTTTTATAAATTTATTAGATTATATTTCATTATTATTAAAAAAGTGTTTGCACAAGTATTAAAATTTTGAGACATTTAAATAAATATCACCCAATTCTTATTCATTTACATATGAGACTCCCAAATTTTAATGACATTAATACCAAACTAACATTTCATATCACATCAAAAATATTATTATTTTAATTTTAAAAAAATGAAATATCTATATTTTCATATGTTACATATCTTCAAAATATATGTAAATCTTTCTAAAATTATATACCTTTATTATATTTTAATGTCAATTATAACAAATATGATAATTTCTAAATTTCTATTAGGGAAAACCAAAATTTTTAATTATGAAAATAATCATAAAAATAATTAAATTTCATTTCAATCATTTTAAAGGTCATAAGAAACTCATAATTTCAAATTGAATATGGGCTTTTTATAGCCGTCCGATGATGGTCCCCGGTCGGCAACATAATCGGCTCAGATTTAACCTAAATCGTAATCGGTTCTGATTAAGGGAATCTGAGCCCTCCGCTCGCCAGAAGGGAGAAGCTTCGAGAAGAGGACGGAGGGATTTAGCGAGCGGCAACTCGCCGTTAGGGTTTGCACCGAAGTTTCGACTTAGCTGTTGTGGTATGTTTCCTTCGCCTCTTTCGTCTTCCTCTTCTTGTTGGAACTATTAGGGTTTTGTATGGTGTCGTTTCTGCCGTTTTTCTTTGCACTTCTTGTTTGAATGAAATTATGGTGGCGTCCTAGCAAGGGGCGGTAGGGCTTTTTGGATTTTAGGGTTGTGTAGGATGATGAGTTGTTTGATCTAGAATTATAGATGTTACTAGTTGTTGGATCTGTTTCTCTAGGTTAGTATTGGTGGTGTGTTTTACTGCCCTTTAGCTTAGGCGACGTTCTTTTAAGAGGGGTTTGGATGGGATTGATCTTTGAAATTTTTTTGAGTGGTCGATTAGAAGAGGGAGCTCAAATATGTAGTGAAGGGGAGAAGTTGGAAGTAAGTTGTATTTGTATGTGATATTGTTGAAATTGCATTTTGTATCCGTTTTGATGGCTGATTTATAATGTATGGTAAGACATTGATTTAATTATGTGGTTATTCAATAAACTACTAATACCTTGGAATTTTTTTGGGAATTGAAAAGAGCTGAATCATGAATTTCCAGTGGGCTTAGTCGAAACCTTGCATAAGTGGTTTGTCCCGTACAAGATAATCAAAATAATAGTGAATACATCCAATTCTCATTCGAACCATGATCATAAGCATGCTTTTAATAGAAATGAAATAGGAAAAAACACTTGATTCATATTCCTAATGAGTTATTTGGCAGCTTGCGGGGTTTAATTCAATCAGGATTTACCAGGTCCTTTATCCTGTGGTGGTTAATTCCTAAAAGCTGCTTTGTTATAGGATTTGCTGAAATTGTTTAGAAATTTCTTTTAGGATTTAAATTTTCTTAGCTGAATTTAATTTTCGTTGTTAATATTATTAGTTATATTAATCATTCATTAATAATTTATTGAAATAATAAATCATTGATTAGAATTTTTAGATTAATTACTTCATTGAATTGATTGATTAATTACTTGATTGAATTGAACTAATAAATTTCTATATTTCTTGATTGAATTGGTTAGTAGTTTCATATATGTTGGGGATAGCGTTAACTAATATTGTTGTTATGTGTGCTGCTTAACCAGATATTAAGAAATGTGCATTCGTTGTGCTTTCGTTTATATGCTTTAGTAAAATATTTAATTCTCGCTACGTATGTTGATTTTACTTGAAATTTGATGATTTGTTTTCAACTTGATTGATTTTTTACACAGTTACCGTACTACATGTATTATTTTTGTGAATGTGTTTTAGTTTTTTAGTTGTTCAAAATTGAAGATTGTTGTTTCTATAAGTAGGATTACTGCTATATAAAATGGTTTCAATGTGGAGGATTGGAACCTATTATAACTTGTTAGATTTTGCAGTTCTCTTTTTTTACAAAGTTGATCTTAGAAAATAGGAGTCAATATATTTTGCACTACTTGGCAACTTGTGCTACAGGTTGATTTATTGGCAGAATGAGGGGTAGAGGATACAGCTATAGTCCTTCTCCGCCAAGGGGTTATCGTGGAAGAGCTCGAAGCCCAAGTCCAAGGGGAAGGTATGGTGGACGTAGCAGAGACCTACCTACAAGTCTTCTTGTAAGAAACCTTCGCCATGATTGCAGGTTTGTAATTTTTCCTATATGTGCGTGTAAATTAAACACTTGAAATTTTGGTTTCTCAAATAATTATCTAGAAGTTGCAGTAAATTTCAATGTTTATTTTGTTTACTTTTTGTAGTTCTTTCTGTATTGTGATGCTAAATATCTGGATCGTGTAATTTGTTTTTTAACTTGGTTTTGACATTTCATGCCCATGGCTTTTTTTTATGTTACTTGGGATTCATTGTAAAAGCTATAGATTGGCAATGAATTAAATCAGGGTTCTATTAAAATCCTATTGTATATCATGAACAATGAGGGGTGATCTTTAGATAAATCTTGGCTTGTCTTTGTTGCAGGCCTGAGGATCTTCGTAAGCCTTTTGGGCAGTTTGGTCCTCTCAAGGACATTTATCTTCCTCGTGATTACTACTCGGGGTGAGCATTTTTTTTCCTTTGTTGTTTTAAGTTGCGGGCAGTTGGCAATCGAGCAGCATGAAGCCAGTTTAAATATTTTTGTCACTATAAATGTCAGACAATTGAAATTTATGCTCCAATGCTGTGGCATTTTGCTATAATTCTTCAAACTATTACAAAATTTGGGGAATGAGGAGTGCAACGCTTCATTAATCTTGCATTCTCATTGGGTGCTATTTTTACAGTCCTAATTAGTGTGTAAAATGCATTGTGCAATTTTTTATTAAGGCTGTTGAGATCTAACAGTGAAAATAAAGATTTCAAGACACCAGTCAAGTCTCTTAAGAGTTCTATTCAAGAGGATGTAAGTATTTTTTGAAGAGAATGGCTAGTGAAGGGGGAAGGAAATGGGTTTGAAGTTTATAATTTTTGAAGATCTTCAAGTCTTGAAGAATTTCAAGTCATCTTTAAATCTGAAGAGTTCAAGATTAGCAGCCAGGTGCCTGCTTTACTTGATTTGCATGAAAAAATAACTGAAGCATTATTTGCTAGTGGTCTTCTATATTTTTTCAGGATTGTCTCAACCTTGAAGATCTTCTTTCATCAACATTTGCAAGTTTTACATTTATTACAAGAATTATATACATGCTTTTCTCTCCTTTTTTTTCTTTAGAGAACCTCGCGGATTTGGCTTTGTTCAATACGTCGACCCTGCTGATGCGGCAGAAGCCAAATATCAAATGGATGGTCAGATTCTTCTTGGTCGTGAGTTAACCGTTGTATATGCAGAGGAGAATAGGAAGAAGCCCTCTGATATGAGGGCAAGAGAGAGAGTCAGGTAACTTGAAAGATTTTTTTTTTTTAATGTATATCTTTTAGGGTCATTTACATGCATACAACACAATTCTTATGAATTTACAAATCTAACTGCCAATGCTTTATTTTGCATGCATAAAACTTAATCTTTAACATCACGTTTAAAATACCTCCGTTCATAACTTTTTAAAAGTGAAATACATATTCATGATGCATAGGTTTATAACATAAAGTGCTATAAATATAAATATGAAAGTTTAGGCCTTGTGTGGTATGTATTTAGATTTTCCTAATTTTTAACGTGCAGATTTTTTTTAAATTTTTATTATTTTTAAAATTTCTGAATGTGGCTTATATTTTACTTGTCTTTTTTTTCTACATCTTGGTTTTATACGTTTGGTATCTATATACTTTCAAGTTGTGATTTATAGTTTTGCTCTTCCATACGAGTTCTCTTTTTTTTTTTATTTGCAAATAAGTAAACTGATTTTTGTACTTGATACTCATTGTTTGGATGGTAGATTTGAGCGTGTTCTCTTACCTGCTTTGTGCATTTTCTAAAACTCTGCAATTGCTATATCCAAACTTTGCTCCATTGGTTGGATGCTTGCCTGACTAGTAAAAACATGCTTGATTTGATAACGATAATTGAATAAATCCACTTACGTTTGGATATTTTTTTTGGGGAAGTGAGGCATAATTCCTGCAAGATGCATTTATGTAATGCCTAAAGTTTGATTTTTTTTTTACATTTGTACGACTCAAATCATTAATATCACTTAAAAATCTCTGTTTTACCAACTTTTTAAAATTGAAGTACACGTTTTCATGCATAGTTAAATGTTATAATCATGCTTCATAACATAACATCCATGTTGTTGGGCATGCAGTTTGCTCATGCATCACATCCCAAGTTTGCTAAATTTTCTTTGCTTGTGCTGTTCTCAACTTACAGCAGACCTTACGGTTCTCGGAGGTCACCTCCACGCTATTCTCGTTCAAGGTCTCCACCAGCTCGCCATCCCTCGAGATATTCTCGTTCCCCTCGTCGTCCGAAATCTCGCTCCCGCAGTCCCGTTTACCATTATTCCCGATCACCATCTCCAAAGCATGGTCGACGGTCCAGGTAAACCCTAAACCCTAAACCCTAAACTACCAAAAAGTTAAAACTGTTATCGTTAACTCTTTTCCAAAATGTTGCCAACAGATCTGCTTCTCCTGAAGATCCCCGAGCTCAAAGGGAAAGATCTTTCTCCCAATCTCCTTATGCTGCGGGGTCGAGGAGCAGGAGCCCCATTCAGGAGGAAGATGATGATGCTGAATATGCAAGGAGGAGCTCTCACAGGGAAAGATCCCGTTCTTATAGCCAGTGAACAGAGAAGCTGTGGCTTTATTGCCGAGTTATTTTGTCTCATCATCTTTTTTATTCAGACTAGTGTTTTGGGATCTAACATACATGCAATTGTAATGAATATGTTGCAATATACACTGCCCGCCTTCTTCAAATGATTGCAAACATGAATAAGTCTAGTTATGTCTTCACATTTTGATGTTGGTTAGCTTTTATGTGTTAAATGAACTCCTAGGCTTGCTGCTGCTTTCTTTTCTAGGTTTTTTTTTTTTTTTTAAAAATTCCTTGTCTTGGTTGTCTCTGGAATTGTCCTATCGAAACCTTTATATTTTATGCCCTCATAAAGAGGCATTTATCAAGATAATTTATGCCATTGCATGCCCTGTAGGGTCTGTTTTCTTATGAATGTTTTACCGCTTTATTCTGTGTGATTATATCCCTTTCATTGTAGTTTGTTTTGCTTCACCTGAGAAGATTGCAATTTTTCTATTTTCAAGGTGTAAAAGGAGAAGTTTTGTTTCAATTCTATGATAAAATTTATCATATTTGGTAGGCTTCTTCGAAAAAGGATGAGGGTAGCCACCCCCATTGTTGCCTTATCAGCTGATCTTGATGGTGTTGCCAAAGTCACCATCATTAATTGGAAATTATAACAAAACCTTTTTTCTCTTGCTAGAATCTTCCACTGAGTGGTATGGTCATGACACTTTGAACCTTCCATTTTTTACTCTTATGAAAATAATGGTGCTTGGATAACGCAACCAATATTAAGTAATCATTGATGCATAGTGGAATTATAGGTTGTATAATCATTTCCTTCGGTTAGGATGGTATGATACTCATAAGCTTTTAATATTTGTTTTGACGATGCATCTCTTTTAAAGCCATGTTTGTGACTCTAGCGATTAATTTGCAGATTTTTTAAAATGTTTTATGCAAGAAGCCTTACCATAACTACTAGAGAAAGTGTCATGGATATGTGAAAAAAATGATGGAAGTTATCTTTGGATATAATTATAGACAACCTTTTAAGGCTATAATGGGGGTTTATCCCCGATCTTAAATTGCTCACGTAACACAGCTTATTACGATTTTTTTGGTCAATCAACATTTTTGAAGCAATTATTCACAACACTCGCGATGGACTATTACTCAACGACAATCAATAATGACCCCTGCAACCTGCAGTCAGAGTATGGTTATACAACTTTGTAATTTCATATTATATAATTTAGAAGAATGAACTTGCGCACTCATCATTTATAGTAAACTATTTCAACTGAGCTAGGTTGTGTGATTTTTCTCCCTTTCAAGGGCTTTCAACGTACAAAGTCGAAGTGTCTCCTCCTGGTTACTTCTCTTCTGTTATATGTGAGTGTTGGATTCTCGTGCAATGCTAAGACCATAATTCATTACTCTACCGTCGCGAATTTTCTGGCACGCATCAATTTTATGAGCTCATCACTATAATCCATGTGTTTACAACGATCTATGTGGTTCACAGTTTGTGTAGCTCCCGACTTCAACCCCGACGACCACAAACGTCATTCATACTTATCACTACGACCTACGTGGTTCACAGCTAATGCAGTTTCTTTGGTCAATCAACGCTTCTGAAGCTATCATCTACAACACTCACGACGCATTACTACCTATACAACAATCAACAATGACAATTACAACCTGCAGTCACCAAGTACTGTAACCATATTATAGTTATATAACTTTGTAATTTCTTCTTCCCTAATTTTGGAGAAGAATGTAGTTGTGCACTCATCGTTCATATCGGATTATTTCAATTGGGCTAGACCTCATGGTTTTTCCCTATTTCAAGGGTTTTTCACGTACAAAGTCGAGGTGTCTCCTCCCACTTATTTCTCTTCAATTATCTGTGTGTGTTGAATTCTCGTGCAATGTTAAAACGATAATCCATTACTCTATCACCGCGAATTTTCTAGCTCGCATTAGGTCTGACCAAATTAAAATGATTATATCAATGTGTGTTATATATTATGAATGATATTTTTTTGTCATAATTGATAAAAAATTTTAATAAACGACGGTATATGTGAATCACAAACTATGAGTTTCTTTATGAAGTAGAAGTCTTAACATGTGAGCTATCATCAATAACTCATAAGTGATTTATTCATTCATTCTCTTTGTCTTAGGAGAGAAATGTGTGTTGGCTTTTATAAGGACAACTAATAATGTTGTTTGTGCTAGTGACTAGTATAAAAAATTGTGTTGAGGACATACGATGATGTTAATGTCATTAGAGGTCGTTGGCCTTGTTAGAATTGATGTACCTCAATGTGGGTGTCAATGATGTGCTCTAGCATTGATGTTAGACGTCAACTTTATTGTAGATAACAAACATTCATATTAATATTTGCGATGGGCATTGATCTTATTCGCAATGACTAATGTTAACTTTAATGATGCTAGTAAGTGCTTGCTTTATTGGCAACAACAAACAATAACGAGTGTTGACATTTTTTATGATGTATATATTAGTGTTAATATCAACAATGTGTCAACCTTATTAATAAGAATGTTAATCTATACTGGTGACAACGTGTTGATGGTGCACTTCGACCTTTATGTTGATGACAATTATTAAATTTATTGACAATGAACTGCATTGACATCAGTGCTAATAGTTGGCGTGAGCATTATTGATAATGATGGGTGTCAATGTTAGCCCAAATGAGAAGCATTAAACTTGTTGGTGATTAATGATAATTATTAGTGTAAGCCTTCTTGGCAATAAGATCTATCAATAGCTCACATGCCAACCATCAAATTTCATTTTTTAGAATCCCTTTTATTTGATCTCATCTCCAAATAGATTTACAAAATCAAATATGATGTGATCATTTCATCGAGAACTAATGCACTCCCTTAAATGGTATACTTTGAAGCCCTTGATCATGTGATATTTCTAAGGTTGTGTTTGGTAGCATATTATTAATAGGATTTAGCTAAGAATTTAACTTAAATTCAGTCAAACACAAAAAAAAAAAAAAAAAAATCATTTTTACGACATAAAAGTGGGTTTAGTAAATCTGATTTAGTAATTCAGACATACTTGTTTAGTTGTCGTTGGTCAGCTCTTCTGTCTAGTCCAAATTAACGTAAATCTCAGTTGCAGCCAAAAAATCTTGAGGGTTTCAATGACATTAGTATGTTTTACTTGAACATTTTAGTTATAACCTTGTTGAAAATAAAATTCAATAAATTTTTTTTATGATATAAAAGTATAAGTATTAATCTAATTACCGTCTTTTATTTACCAAAACGTAATATTCTCACGGACTCATCTAACTAACAACAACAACAACAAAAAATGTTTCCCACTAAGCGGGGTCGGCTACATGAATCCTTTTTTCTCCATTGTGTCCTACTTACTGTCATATTTTCAATTAATTCTAATAAATTAAAATCATTTTTTATACAATGTGTCCAAGTCTTCCCAGATCTTCCTCTGCTTTTCTTAACATAAGTTATATCCAAAACACATGCTCTTCTAATCAGATCATCTGATGGTTGATGTTTAATGTGACCAAAGCATCTAAGACAACTCTCTCTAATTTTGTCCGTCACTAGAGCTACGCCAACCCTACCACGAATATATTCATTTCACATTTTATCTCGAAGTTATCATTTTCATTTGGGCAACACTTGACCTAATTTCATTTAACCTAATTTCATTCCTCTCTTTTAAAAACCAACATTATGGTGAAAATTTAAGTACAAAGGACAATTTGAGCGTCCTTCGAATCAAAATCCACTCATTATGTCTGATTGTAAACGTTGGCCCCACATTTGCCCCCATTTAGCCGTACTAATCATAATTAGCCGCACTAATTAAATATTCATTTATTAATATATATTGTAACTGCATGATCATGAATTGTGAAGAGGAAAGGGCATTTACATTCATACCACCCGATTCTTGGGTATGTGAATGCCCTTTTCTATTCAAATACCATCATTTTTATTTTTAAAAGAATGAAATACAATTTTTCATGCATAATTAAATTGGAATGTACGTAAAAATTATAATTTTGATGTTAGATGTGTAAATACATAGAAATTTCTGGAAATCATTTTTCCTTGAAATTTAAATAGGTAGGACTCAATTCCTATGCATTTATGCATCTCACATCAAAGAAAAAATATTGCATATATATACCGCATTCAGAGATCCATGCGGTGTCCGATCCTGGCCGTAGATCACGGTGATCTACGATCAAGATGTATTTCGGTGGGAAAGTCTGATTTTTACAATTAAAGTGTTTTTCTTATGCATGAAAATGTGGATTTTTGAAATCCATCTTTTTCATATATAGAAAAAGGTGCTTAGGAAGTAAAAATTAAAGTTTGGGCGTGACACATGTAAATGCATAAGAATTGAGTGCTATGTATGTAAATTTCCATTTTTTTTAATTTCAATATTAACTTCAAAATTAATAAGTTGATATTAATCATTTAAATAATAAGGAATTTTTGTACACAACACCTAATTCTTATGATTTTACTTGTCTTGCACCCAAACTCGCATTTTTACAAATCAAGCATCTAATTTATGGATTTTACCACTTCCCAATAGTAAAATTCACATCTTCATGCAGAACAGGGTGCTTGATCTGTAAAAATGGGAAAAATTTTACGTACGTTAAGGGGCACGCAGAGATGTGTACATAATAGGGTACACGGGGTTTATACAGGGATTATAAGAGGGTTATAACCCGTCGTACCTCCCGTGTAACCTCCCGTGTAATTCCCCTGTAATCCCGCTGTAACCTTGTAATCTCAATGGATAAAATAAAAACGCGGGTTACAATTGAGTTACACGAAAATTACAAGAAAGTTATAACACGCTTGTAACCCTCATATAACGCCTGTATACTCTATTATGTACGCATTTCTGCGTACACTTGACGTAAGTAAATTTTTTCCATAGTCTTTGAGAGGAGATAGATAAAATTATAAGAATTGAGTGTTGAGTATGGAAATTTCCGTTAAATTAATTTGATAACTGCTCTTTACTTAACTGTCTTTTTAGCTTCCATGGAGTCATCGTAGAGTCCAAAGATCTCAGCATTTTACAGGATTCGAATGAGAGAGCTGAGCTCTGTGAGCTCGGAGGCTAGCTAGGGTTCGTCTTCTCCTATCCTGCTTACTGTTATTATAAGAAAAAGAGCTGCATTCAGGTGTTGTTCGTCTCCCTCTCTTCTTCAGTGTGTTGTCACGGTGGCTTTGTATTTAGGGTTTTCTTCTTTTTTGTGTTTAGTATAAGTGGATTCGTGAGATTACTCCCTCATTCTGCGATTTTTGAGATGAGAACAGTGCTTTTAGTTGAAATAGAAATGCCGGGAAAGGTTTTTGTAGGGTTAGTTTAGTGAAAGATGGGATTTTTGGAGAAGGGAATGTGTGTTATTTATCTTATTTAATTTTATTTTTTCACTTGTAGTATCTGGCATTGTTCACATTTTTTTTTTTTGAAGATTTTGTGTTCGGTTATGATGGTTGGAGTTCGGAACTGCGTTGATTCTGCTAGTACTTTGTCTATTGAGTCGTTAGTAATTGGGGGCGTTTAATCTAGTAAAGTTTAAGTTTTCTTAAGATCAGAAAGAATCGAAATTTAAGTTTTAAAAGATGAGTGAAGTAACAGATTGGGATATAGAACATTTGGGTTTGTTAAAGCTGTTAAAGCATAATCGATAGCTCTTAACCTCAGGTATCAGGATCTGTTCTATCATATATATATATATATATATATATATATATTGTAGGACTGCAAGAGAATCAAAATGTTGCACGTTTTGTGGCGTATTAGGTTGCCAATGGATTTACCTACAACAGCCATGTTTTCTGTGGTTGAGCAGCATTTTATATTTATTGGACCTCAATGTAAATTCACGATTAGACTTAAGCTACTCTGTCAGTTCTATTTTCTGCTTCATTCCAAAAAATGATTTGGAATTTATGATTTTCTCTTCTAGGTTTATTGCTTTTGATTCATCTAAGATGTTCAATGAAAGTTTGGCCACTAAACGACATCAAATCTCTGGCTGATAACTCAACAATTTGAAAATTTGAAGAGGAAAGTAAGCTCTCCAGTAATGTTTGTTTATGCTTTTAGTTCCTTAGTCCTCTAGGTGTCATTCTAAAAGGTTATATATGTTATTTTTTAATAATTTTTTTTTGTCTGAAACAATTCGGATTGTTAATTAGTTTTGTCTTCTTAATGATTCTAAGAGAACCTTAATATTTATAAATTTAGCATTGTGGTAGAAATAATAAGATTTTAAATTCTTCAAAACTCTTTGGAGTTTTGTTCACATCTTTAATGTTATGGACTATGTATTTGTTAATTACTGTTTACTTATTTTAGTCTATGGCTTCTTTGTTTCTTTCAGTTTCACTACATTAGAACATGTGTGAATCTCATCCCGCGTGTCGTTCTAGACTGGTTGCAATTTTAGAGGATTCGACCCAACCGCTTGCCATAATATGGAAAAGAAGTGTTATTCTGCTCATCTTTTTGTTCTCAGTTGTTTCAGGTATTCAATTATTTTTTCTTATCTTGACAACTAGGAAAGATTTTTAATTTTCTTCTCCTCGCAAGAAGTTGAAGAGATTTTGAACATGTTACACTTATAAAAATTAGCTTTGATATTGACAAGAATACATCTTTCAACCATTTGGTTTTTATTATTTCAATTCTTTGTTTATTTAGGTTCATTCGTAGGGATTAACATTGGTCTTCTTTTATATTGACAAGATTACATCTTTCAACAATTTGGTTTTTATTGTTTCAATTTTTTGTTTATATAGGTTCTTTCTTTGGGATTATCAATGGTTTTCTTTAATATTGGCAAGATTACATTTCAACAATTTGGTTTTTATATGTCAATTTTTTGTTTATTTAGGTTCATTTGTTGGGATTAACATTGGCACGGACATTTTGAATTTACCATCCGCGCCAAGCATAGTTTCCATCCTCCAATCTCATAAAATCAAACATATACGATTATTCGATGCTGACCACCAAATACTAGCCGCCCTTGCAAACACAGGAATAGAAGTAATGGTTGGTGTTCCAAATGATCAATTACTACGAATAGGAGAATCTCAATCTGCAGCAGCTGACTGGATCAATAGAAATGTTGCAGCTTATCTTCCCGGAACCAACATCACCTACATTGCAGTTGGAAATGAAGTCCTCACCACCATTCCAAATGCCGCTCTCGTTCTTGTTCCTGCAATGCAATTTCTCCAGTCTGCTCTTCTAGCTGCTAACCTGAATTTTCAGGTTAAAGTTTCTAGCCCTCAATCTATGGACATGATTCCCAAATCCTTTCCACCATCCACAGCCACTTTCAATTCAACTTGGAGCTCAATAATGTATCATTTTCTCCAATTCTTGAAGAATACAGGAGCCTCATTCATGTTAAATGCTCAGCCATACTATGGATTTGTGAAAGCAAATGGTATTTTCCCCATTGAATATGCACTTTTTCGTTCTCTCAATCCTGACAATCAGATTGTTGATCCGAATACCCTTTCTTCATATTCAAACATGTTTGATGCGATGGTTGATGCTGCTTACTACTCGATCCAAGAACTAAATTTTTCCGGGATTCCAATTATTGTGACTGCTTCTGGGTGGCCGTCGAACGGCGGGGACGACGAACCATATGCTAATGTGGATAATGCGTTGGCTTATAACACAAATCTTGTTCGGCATACACTCAATAATTCTGGGACACCCAGTCAACCGAATAACCCAGTCAATGTATATATCCATGAGTTGTTTAATGAAGATCTCTTGCCAGGGCCTCTTTCAGAGAAGAACTGGGGATTATTTTTGCCTAATAGAACGGTTGTATACGCTCTAGATTTTGCGAATGCAGCCAATGGCAGTGCGGCACTATCAGGGATGAGTGGTGTTTTCTGTGTGGTGAATCCCAGTGCGAATCCGAGAGATGTGAAGCAAGGACTGGACTGGGTTTGTGGCCCTGGGGGTGCGAATTGTAGCGCTATCCAAACTGGGAAGCCATGTTATGAAGCTGACAATATTGTTGCTATAGCTTCCTATGCTTATAATGACTATTACCATAGGATGCAAGCAAGTGGCGGAACGTGTAACTTCGATCACACGGCCATGATTACTACAAATGATCCCAGTAAGCCCACTTATCTTTTGTGATTTCATTATTTCAATTTTTTTGTGAAAGTAAATTTTGAATTTGAATGAAACAAAATGCGTATTGAAGTTATGGAATATAGGTGTTTATTGCTTATGAGCATTGTGAAATCCTTCTATTGGATTTTGGTGTAGTTTTAGTTGGGAGTAAAGAATGCATTGTTTGTTCACTCAGTGCTCGTAAAGGATGCCCTTTTGTTCAGCAGAGCTTCTGAGCATTTGCAGGAAGTTCTTAAAATTTAGAATTAGAATGCTTAAAGAATAGTTTGTTTAGCCTCCTGCTTCCATTTCAGCTTAATGTTTGGAGTATCTTTTGCTTGAGTTCCTAAAGCATATCAGTTTTTCTCGAGGGGTTTGATTGTTTGTTCAGAATTCTCATTTGATTGTATATGGACTGAAAACATGCTTTCTAAATTAATGATTTTGTTTTCACTCCTATTTCGTGTGAGATTAAAATCATTATATTTGAGGGGGGTTTGAAGGTTTTCCGGGTTCAAAAACAATAATAATTTTTAATTACAATCAACTTAATGATAAAATCTAAATTTCATTTTTTTTAACATATTTTGGAACTCCATATGTGCTTGATCAATCTAATATTCTTTTATTAAGCTTAGAATCATAGTTTAAAAAACCGGTTGGAGGTCCGATTCCGGGTGGCCTAAAAACCGCCCTCGCATTGAACCAGAGTGATTGCCTGGAACCGGCGGTCTAACCGTTGGATAGATTGAAATCGACAGTCCAACCGATGATCTAATTTATTTTTTAAATGTTTTTTTAGAGATATTTTTTGGGTTACAATATTTGATTGCTACTCTTCTTTTTAAGAGTCAGTTAAATTAGTTGTTTAAGTTCACATATGATTTTTATTTCATGATATATTTTTTATAATACACATACTGCGACATTATTATGTCATTTAGGTTACATTTAATATTTTTTATATTTACTAAATCACTCGGCTCAACTCTGATTTAACCGGTGAACATTGAACCTCCTCTTTTGGTTCAATGTCCGGTCTGACTTTCTAAACCTTCCTTAGAACAGGGAAACATGTTGGAGATTTGTTGGAAAAACAGTGATATATAATGATTATTATAAAAAAAAAATGAAGAGTTCTTTGTGTTTATGTGTAAAGAAAATTTCTTTGTTTGAAAAAAAAAACATTGAAAAAAAAAACTTTTACACCTGTATATCCCATGTTTTTTAAACTATAATTTCATATAATCAATTGCTTTAACACTCAAATTAGTTTTATCTTAACAATGGTCAAATGGAAAGGTTGTTATCGTTAATTTTTCATGTTTGCGTTAATTTAAGCTAAGTACCATCATCACCCACTTCATCCAAGCCACCGAAGACAAGCATGATACTATTAAAAGCTAATTTTTGAGCCATAAAACCTTCATCAATTATTGTTATTTAGAGTATCATGATTTAATGAGTTCAATGCTTAAATGTTTTATAGTTTTAAAAAACATCAAGACATCAATACAAATGTCATTCTTCGAAGCAGACATTGTTTAAAATGATATTTAATATCGTGTTTTCTACTTGATTTATTTCTTCTATTATTGGTATAGTGTAATAAGGTTCGAGTGAGGTAAGCTTTAATAGAGATTAAAATAAAATAATAATAATAAGTAGAATGAAAAAGTAAAATGTGGAAATTTTGTAACTAACTTAAAGTTAGTAGTTAATTAAAATAATAATTTATTTTATAGTTTTATGAATACCATATTTATGTTTGGTATTTACTTTAGAAGAGTCGACATCAGGACAAATATTATCGAATTAAGCATCATTGAGGTGAGTACTTGTATTTTTAATCCATGATAATATTTTTATTATCGATTGTTATGCATTAGTGAATAATGATATTTGCAAAACTTTATTTTTATTTATATATTTTTCTTTATTAGTCACATTGTAATGAATGTTTATAGCTACTTAATATGATAATTTGTGTATATCATATATATTATATTGAATTGAATGAAACGATCATATAAATAATATATTTATGTTAACTGCTTGTATGTGCAAGACTGACTATGATAGAGAAAAATATTACATCAGGACTCTTAACGTACAACTACGTTCAGAGTTCACTGATATGCGAACACGTGGAGGTGACAGAAAAATAAAAAAAATTGTTTTAGTGCAAGAGAATATTCATTCCGTGTTATTTCGCATTATTCAGGTGTTATTGTGTTCTGGGAATATTTTCGGTATTATAATAACACAATAACACATAAATACCACCACAATAACATATGAATAACGCGAAATAACACAGGAGGAATATTCTTCTGTGTTACCGGATCGGATCACAGGAAAGCTCGCGTTTCCTTGAAGCCACTTGTCCGCATATCAGTGGACTCTGAACGTAGCTCTACGTTAGGAGTCCTGATGTAATATTAGTCACCCTTTGAGGGTACTAGTAGAGGAATACTTGGGTACCCGTGCACGTATATGAAAATGAATATTGATATTGATGTGTCTTATGTGATAATTTTTAGATGGTGCTCTTGTGATAGTTGTATAGATACACAGTGATATTGTTTTGTTATTGATATTGTAAGATTTTGTGATGGTAGTATGACAAAGTAAAATGTAAAAATTTTATATCTAACTTAAAGTTAATAGTTAATTAAAATAATAATTTATTTTAAAGTTTTATGAATACCATGTTTATGTTAGGTGTTTACTTTAGAAAAGTCAACATCAGTGCAAATCTTATTAAATTAAGCATCATTGAGGTGAGTACTCATACTTTTAATCTATAATAATATTTTTTTTCTCAATTTTTATGCATTAGTGAATAATAATATTTGCAAAACTTTATTTTGATTTATATTTTTCTTTATTAGTCACATTATTATGAACGTTTATAGCTACTTAATATCATGCATTTGTGCATATTATATATAATATATTGAATTGAATGTGAATATCATATAAATAATATATTTATATGATCGAATTAAGTATCACTAAGTTACCCGTGCACGTATATGAAAATGGATATTGATATTGATGTCTTATGTGATAATTTTTAGATTGTATTTCTGTGATGTTTGTATAGATACACAATAATATTGTTGTGTTATTTACATTGTAAGGTTCTTTAAATAATATTAAATGTTTTTTTGATTTATTAAAAGGTTAACTGACGTGCATAATGCTTTATTTTCTCTTGTATTACTGTAGTTTTTAAGTATGAATATTCACTGACTTGTTTAGCTCAGTTATTTTTAAATTAAGGGTTTGTTTGGGGCAGCTGTAGCTTATTGAATAATCTGTTGATAAGCTAGGTGGGGTAGCTATTACAATTTTTTTTTTTATGGAAAAGCTAGACCGTAGTCAGAAAGTTGTTACCGTATTTAGATATGTGTTGTGTGAAAATACTATTTTCAGCGTTTTGAAAACGCACAAGCTGCCAAAATACGATTTATCCAAACAGACCATGTGCGTTTTCAAAATGTTACCGCACTAAATAAGTTGCCCCAAACGGGCCCTAACTCTTCAGGTCAATTAAGTGATTAGAAGATGAAAGATAAGCACAAAACATTTATAGAACATGCGACCAACCCGTAACGAGGTAATTTTAATTATATTATTTTAATTTACGTGTATATATATATATAATTTTAGAAAAATATGAAATCAAACTGACCTCATATTTTTCACAGTTTAAATGAAAGAGCGCTCTACCTGAAATCCTGTATCTATCCCGAGCGATAAACACAAGACTTGAGGATGAGACTCGATCAAATAAACTAAGAAAACATATGACATCCGTTCGGGTCTGCGAAACCGTTTTATTTGCCGACAAGTTCCCCTATTTAATACAAATAATTAAATAAGGTTTATTTTAAGCTGGGTTCGGAAAAGCTTCCTATAAGGGCATGCCCCTATAGTTAATTACATCTTAAATGA